CCGTTTGGCAGCATCCGTACTCCCCTGTGGGTCATGCTTTATCATCAGAATGAGCCTCAAATGGCAGCAGCTCTCCCTGTGCATCATGTCTTGGCTCCTTGCATCGCCTCAATCGCAGTTACCGCCCAGTTTAATGCACTGGCTGGTGCATAATTGCCTCGCCATCTTGGCGCATTTTTCCAGCACTCTCGGCTCATTACTTGGAGTGGCCTTCATATATGCCCGGGCCTCAGCAAAATATTGTAATGTTTAACCAATTCTTCACCACCGTATAGTCTTGTTCTTTTACATCCCTTTGTTCATTGTCGCAATGTTCCCAGCTGTTTTCTTTAGTCTTTAATCCCTGCTATGAATTGTCAGCGTTCCTTTTGAAAATATCTTTTTTCGCTTTTCTCTTATCAGCAAATATCACAGCAGCAAACTTTTGAGTTGTGTGGCCATATGACTTCAGATTCAGCAGTCACACCAGGCTCATATTAGGGCTAATGTACTCCAGGAGCTACATTTTCATCACATCCTATCACTTTCAATTGCGTCAAGATGCGGACTCTCAAAGTAAACTGTGGATACCAATCGCACCGCCCTTATGTTTCTTTCCTTTTCATCTTCAGGCATTGTCCATACTTTAGTTGTTATCTCTTCGGCCATTCTGTTCACTTTGCATATTAGTGAACTTGATTTATGTTCATGTATTTTCTTGTAATATACCTCAGCTCTTTTTGTGCATGCTTTGCTCATCCAGCTCTTGCCCACATGTCCCGCCGATATCCCTAGGCGGAATATTTCAAGGCGGTCTATTCACGCACGCAGTCGGTTGTCCTTTCTTGGTCAGATTCTTATGTAGATTATATTTGCAATGTCCAACATCCAAACAACCGTCAAATGTAAACCTTCGGATCTGCTTCAAAATGGAAACATTCATGTCCATCAAGTCCAGGCTTCTGGTGCTGTCTTTTCATGAAACAAATCGCGTCACCCTCTGGAAAGATTTAAGCGGTCACGCTTATCAACAGTTGAGCTCCTGTCAGATATTATCAATGCTCTTCAGCATGTCCAGAGTTGGGCAGCCACTTAAGGATGGTGGCTTGCCTCATTGTTTCCTCTGTCCTCCTCCTATAACCATCGCCCAGGCAGCATGTTAAGCAACGTAAATCGTAAAAGGCATAGCGACCATCTGATGTTTTCTTAATATACTATTTTCACCATACCAACAATTTTCCTTTGCCTTTTTTCAACTCGTATCTTTTCTTTTCTTTGCTGCTTTCTCTCCTCTTTTCACTTTCACCCTAACTTGTTGTTTGCCAGTGGCCCAGTCAGCTGCCCTATATCAGCCATGAGCCCGTCTTTGATGTACCAGTGCTCATGACTAAAGGGAGTTTTAACAAATCTAAAAAAGGCACGGTGCCAAACTGCGAGTATGGAGCACTCAATGTGCAGATCCTTAAATAGATCGCCTGATCCACGGCTCGATGCAGAGCACATTTGTGCCAATTATCAAAGGCGTAAAATTTACGTTGCAAGTGCTGTACAATGCTCCGCACACACCACCCAAGGGCTTGTGAAATTCTAAGAAGTCGAGCGATTATGACAGAGTCAAAGTTCCATACCCTCTCCCATTCGATATACCGCCGTCGCAATCGAATGTGCGTAGCGATGGGCCACAACGCAGCACATGTCAAAAGTTTTGCTTCGTCATGCTTGGCAACTTTGGTGCAGGTGGAGCTTAAATGCAGTCGCCGTGCTTGTTCCGACAAGCAGCCAAGACTCAACTGAATTTGTCCTACAACCAACCAAGAGAAGCCACGAACAAGACTCGGGCTCTCTTTAAATACCAGAGTACGCCTGTTTCTCCTACCACCACAATTCACACTCAGGATGGCGCACTCAACTCACAATTTGCACACACACAACACGTTACCACGCAACGCCACTGGCCCACAGCATCTACCCATATCGCCAACTCACAGCACCAATTCACATCACCAAGTTAGTAAAAGCAAATCTGATTGTTGGGGGCAGCTGTCTTCCCACCATGTCAATCAGGTCGACAAGTGAATCTCATGTGAGCAAGCACATGATCGGCCGATATTGTGGTCTCCTTGGTGTCAGAGTTTCATCCTTTGAATCTGATTCCCAAATCCGTATTCACTTTTCGTGCCCGGTTCAATTACGTTTAAACGTAATTGAAAAAAAAGGCCAAAGTTTTGGCCGTGGTGCCCTCCGTTGATTTGGTTCTTGGTTTATTCGAAATTTCGAATTCATGAAGGTGCGTTTTAATATGTACACCAGCTGGTGTACACTATTAAACGCACTTTCTTGAATTCAGAATTTTGAATGGCAGGCGCAAATGGCCAGACCCCATCGGTGGACAGTCACAACATGAAACCTCAGACCCAAGGTGCCCATACTTGTCCGCCGCGATATGTCCCTGCGCAGGGCCATATCATGCATGTGCAAGGGAACGCAGTGCCATGGGACATGCAGTACCAACCACGCTTCACCATCCACCACACAAACAAAGAAAGCCCCGCCTACAAGTCTCAACGTCTCGGCCACCACACCCAACCCCAGAAACACACAGCGCCACGCACCAGAGGGGCAGAGGCTCTGCACACCATATTAAACAAAACTGCTAAAGTACAAGAGGGGGGGTGAGCGAAGGTAAGGGCACTAGGCAAGTTGCTCCACTAGCCACAACACGCGCCCTTCATTACAATTGTGACATGTCGCAATATTGGCACGTCCTCCCGTTCAGGCTTGCACTTCTACTGGCTTACCTTTAAGTTTGACGCCCCTAGCTAAATTTTCCTACAACCTCCGGCAGCAGGCGGCCCAACCTATCACAAGGATTTCCGCATCCAGGCCTGGCATGCCAGCCATGCACAGTACAGATTACGGCCTAGATTTTGCAATTTCATTATCGATAGCAGTATCGCGGCCGACGTCCTTAGTCGCGGAGTCAATTCTCCAGAACGTATTGCTAAGGCTTTGTATGTGGGATTCTGGTAACCACTCTCTATGCTTGGCTCCCCCCCTCTCTCCCGCATATGGCAAGGGAAGGCACCCCGCGACTTATGACTGCTTTTTTCAGGAGCAGCGCCACTATCTTCAATATTTGCGTCACGGTTTCTGTGACAGAAGTTCTGCCAGTATGATTTGTAGTTGGCAGCGGGAAAATGCACGCACCTGGGCTAATAACATTAAAGAAATGAGGCAATTCCTTGGGTGCCTCCAATGGAACTGATGGGCCGGCATTCAGTGTGCAATTGGGAGTTGTGTCCTCCACTACCAGGGTGGACAGTGTCCCAGAGACAGGGCGGCTGTCTCCAAATCGTGCTGGTGGAAATGCGATCTGGTCTTTGGTCGATCGTCGATAAGGCCGCCCATTTCCCCCTTCCACGATGAGCAGCAAAGGCAATCTGGGTGGCCTCTGACGGCGGGCAGCCAGCGTGCACCAGTGGAAAACGGCATGTTTGCGATGCAAATTGCGATGCCATTTGACACAAATTGATGCCATCACAGTCGCTTTTATGCCAACGCAACCACTGTGACGGCACCATTTTGTGTCAAAATGGCATCGCAGTTGGCACTGCAAACATGCCATTTTCTACCAGTGGTGCCATGCCCGCGGCGCCTGCGATCAGATGAGATTCGTGTTTCTTCAAGGAGAAAATGGAAGCGGCTTGGGCCTTAAATCCAAAATTCTTGCGGCGCTAAGCGCCGCAAGGGGAGAACACCAGGCACGCTTCCCGGGGCCATTTCCCAGGGGACAGCAAGGGCCGCAGGGGGCAGTATCCTCCGGGCCAGGCACTCTGGCCTGTTGCCACCAACCCACTGGCGAGTCTGAAGGTGGTGAGCGAATCAGTACAAAACACAACGTCCCTGACATACGGTGATTCAATGGGGTGACTGTTGTGAGGGAATCCGGCATCGGAGTGCGTCGGAGACGCATCGTGGCGGACAGATGTTCGGGTCCGACGTCGGATATTTTGGGATGATATTTGGAAGCTGCCACAGTCGGGCCTGGGCCCCCGCGAGCCCGTTTTGGTGTTCGGGCGTAAAGCCTATTGCGCACTGAGCTTCGAGGGACGGAGTTGGTGCAGCAAGCGCAAAGGAGCTCAAGTCGGCGCTCAAGGCGCCTCCCTAGTCCCTGGCTTGCTGGCGGCAAGATCCGTGGCTGGTTGGAGCAGGGGGAGCCGCCCCGAGGTGGGCGTAGACCTGCCGGCATGCCTGTCGATCTGGCCTACCGCAGGGCACTGCATTAGTCGGGGCCCCACCGTCGGCAATTCCTTCGTGGCTGGCAACGGTGCCACCTTCGTGTCCAGCGCCATGGGCCTGCAGGCCGCGCTGTGCTCCAAGGCGCGGTGCCACCGGCGCGTGGTCGTCACCGAGTGTATCATCCTGGACCCGCTTCGTGCCGCACCTGCGGTTGCGTCGCGACCTGTCCGCGTGCGGAACGTCGCGCGAGGAGGTGGCGACGGGCGTGGAGGCCTTCAAGATGGCATCAATCAACGCCACACTGACGTGGTGCAACCTGACGTTCGACCTCACGTTCGCCGCACGCCGCCCCCGTCGGCGGAGACCGCCCTCCTCGACATGGAGCCCGGGGGGACGGTCCAGTACATCGACTGCCTGTTCTACGTCTCGGCGGGGCGGTTCGCGGCGCTCGCTTCGGCGGTGGGCGGCCAGGTGCAGGAGGGCACAAGCGCAGCCGCCACCATGGGCCAGGTCGATATGACGATAGAGTACGTGAGCCTGCCGGCGGCGACGCTCAGGTGCGTGCAGGTTCTCACCTGCGCGAGTCAGCCCCCACTCCGAGGGACGATGTCATACGGCGCACGCGCCAAATGACCATGTTACGCCAGGCCAACAAGGCTACCCATGTTCCACTGGTGGTGGCCCTGGAGGGCAACTACAGCGTGATGCGGACCTACGCCGTGCCTGATGCGGGCGATGAACGATGGGCTCGGTCTGGACGTCCGGCGTCCGCTGACGATCAGGGGCGCTGGGGGGCCGCCGCCCTGGCTGGCGGTCCCTCGGACGCTGCCGCAGGCCTTTCTGGAGGTGCACTGCCAGGTGCGCTACGTGGGCGCCAACTTCAACAACCGGAACATCGCATTCGGCGGCGTGCGGGACGCGGCGCCGCGCGGCGCCAGGGTCGAAAACCCGCTGCTGGATCTCAGCGGGCACAGGGTCCACGGCGCCGCGCTGGGCTGCGGCATCGTTCTCAAGGACATGACGCTGGTGAGCGCGTGCGGCTACCTGCGGAGCCTCTTCAAGCTTGTGCTGTACGGGCGCCACAAGGTGGGCAGGGGCGTGGAGATCCTGGAGGCACTGGACGGTGACGTGGTCCTGCACGACGCGGTGGCGGCGGACAACGCGACGATGCGCGTGAACAGGTTCATCGGGCGGGGCAGTTGGGCGCAGAACGTGACGGTCACGGTCACGTGCGCGGAGCCGGGCGTGCGCATCCTGACGGAGCCCCAGTGCGCCCGGGCGCAGCGAGGGGCCCGTTTCGCCGGGCCCCAGGACGCGAACCTCCTCGGCGCAGCATCCGTCGGCGGCGACGGCCCTGGCCGAGAGACTGGCAGCGATCAGGGCGACGTCGCGGAGAAGTTGCCCGCGGCGGCGCTGCTCGCAATCGAGTTAATTCTCAACTTCGCCTCCCCGCTTCACCACTCGTGAAGGCTTCTACAGCCATGCTGTAAGGTTGGCTCCCACGTCCACGACAATCAGGATGTCGGGGTGTGAATGCTCAAGCTTGCCGGGCCGTTTCTGCCCCTGGGCGGCAAGACTTTGTGCCGTACGGGGCGTTGCAGCCCAGGGACACTTGGGTACCTCGTACACAGGACACTCGGGCTTTTAGCGCTGTGCTAACGCGCGCGCAGGGGCGTTCGCAACCCCATAGCACCGGTTACCAGGTTCAAAACTACCCTTCTTCGATTGGAAGATTGCCAATTGATAATCAATGCTACCAAGTAAAGTACTACGCTTCTTATTGGGCACCGCATAAAGTAATAACAATATTTTGATAACAGAATACATTAAAAATAATCAATGTATGCACTATATGATGTTAAATGTCCAGTAAATGGCTTCTACAGTTTTAAATGGGCTGCGGACCTCAATAAGGCCTGTGAAATGGGGTCGTAACGGGGCGGCCTTAAAGAGGCTACTCCACTGTACTCCCTTTGGAAGGCGTGTTGAACGCGAAATATTAGAAAGTCTCAAACCCTGATTCCATTGTGTCATTCCAGCCACTACACGAGGCACTGACGACTGAAAGTACATCGATTGTGCTGGAAAACATAGATGCAGAAAGGTGGACAGTGCTATGCAATGGAAGGGACGAAAGGGCAGGCTGCAGAGGAATATTCGTGCCAGGCCAGAGAAATGAGCGAGAGCCACAATGCACAAACCGATACGATTCGTGCCCGATTCATCGATCCCATGCCAGTCGACATTTCCTTGCGCCCAAAAAATCCCAATGACGCCATGTCAGCCATCTGTCTGTGAGGGCTGCCCCTCATAAAGGTAGAACTGCATTAAGTACAGTATCATCACCCAGAGAAAGCAAAAAAGTGCGGTGCCGGGGGACAGTTGCTCACGCGCTTGCCACTGGAAAAACATGCAATTAGCATCGCCGAACAGTCTCAAGCCCTATCTCTGTCTGTCTTCTGTCGTGGTGAGAGTCTTCCATATATATATATCAGTTGCTGATAGATGCATTTTGTACTTACATGCATGAAACATGTCTATGTGCATTTGCTGCGCCTTTGCAAAAGATTGCCGATGTGGTTGTTGTCTTCTCAATATTGTTGAGTCAGCACAAAATGGTGACCTCCCCCCATGTGGACCGACATCGATGTCGAAAAAGATGTCAATAAAGTCCAACTTTATTTGCCTACCAAAGATTCATCGCAGTCAAGAATCTTCATGCTTTCTTCAGCGTGCAGTCAGCCAACATGTGTAATTACTGCATTCGGTTGCATAATTCGGATTGTTCAGCGATTGGAGCAGATTCGCCCTTCAGTCGTGTGGCGTTTGCCATAGTTGGCTCCGGCAGTGTACACACAAGATATTTAGCCACACAGTTGGTAACGTGCCTGAGCTTTCAGAAGTAGGCTCAAAACATGTTCAGATTCTAAGCAACGAATCTTGATCATGATCTTGATCATGATATATACTGTCTGAATTATCTAGGGAAGATGCCAGACAACTTTGAGTCGCATAGCAACGAATTCAATGAATGCAGGAAATTGACAGCACAACGGAACGACTGAATCAACATGTCTGTTCTCTCCTTTGCTTCCAATCAAATGAAGGCATCCACTCATTTATGGCTTCCATCCGTGGCCGTATCTGACAAATTCAGAATGCTCAACCCCTCGCTGTTGGCAGTCGTGTGACTGTGCCTTCTCAGCTCATTTGAGGCTCCTGACACCACCACAGAGGCCCTTGCTCCTGCCGCTGGCCTGGTTGTGACGGGTTCCAAACTGCTGTCCACTGGGTAGGGCGTCGCCTGCACCTCCAGAAACTCTCGGACCTCAGGCTTGTCTTCTGGAATACCGACTTGCTCAAGAATCAACTTCAACACCTCGTGAAAACGAATGTGGCTTGGACCCTTGAGGATCTCCTCATTCGCCTGCGGGCCTCCGTCTATGTCATTGTATTGGCCGTCAAGGAGGTTCTGGTGAAGCTTGGAGAGCACCAGAACAATCAAATTAAAATGTGGGCGGTCCTGGGGGCTGTGGCAGGTGCACATCCGGCATAGACCAGAAAAAGGCAAAGGGCATATCTTAGGAAAGTGCCCAAACGGATACTCCAAACTCTTTGAGTGGTATAACTCCCACATCACCACTCCAAAGGAGTAGATATCTGCATTCTTTGACAGTGTTCCCTTTTCTTTCAGTTCAGGCGCCATGTATGAGTGTGTCCCGACCTTTCCATTCGAAATACAGTCTTGCCCCCCATCCAGTTTGACACTCAGACCAAAATCCGCAATTTTGGCCGTGCTCATTCCACTCTCCCCTTCCCTGAGATTTTTCTTCAGCAGGACTTTTTTCGCAGACAAATCACCATGCACAATATTATGTTGGTGAAGATGAGCCATACCCCTGGCAGTATCCAATGCTATTTTGACAACAGCTCCAAGGTCGGGCAGTCCTTTGCTCTGGTTCCAAAATAGGCCATCATCAATGCTCTGCTTGAGAGAGCCCAAGTCACAAAGTTCTTGCACGATATATAGTTTCCATACAGCACCAGTGTCAGCCACCACCCTGTCACTTGGCCGCATTCTTCCCTGCTCACTGTGTTTTCTGCATTCTGATGCTTCCAGTCGCTTGATATAGTAGGTATATGTCTGGACGACATTCTCATGGACAACACCCGTGCTAATGGCGACCTCGTGAATGGCTCTTTGCTGTTGTTTGTTGTGATCATCCCTGAATACCACAGTCTTTATAGCAACTGCTACGCCCTTCCATGTCCCCCGGTACACTCTACCATACCCTCCACTGCCAATCAGGTCATCCATGGTGATTGTTTCATCTGCGATTTCCCTTCGATGCTGGACGATGAGTTCTGTCAGGTCTGCTTCCTTAAGCCTGGGCTGCTGCTGCTCCTGCATCTCAATGTCTCCTTCTATTGTGGAGGCTCCTGTTGCCAGTGGCTGCCTCTGCTGCCCTGCCAGCATGTCTACACCCCTATGTCTTCTCCTTGAATGAATCCAGCCCACGCATACCAGGACACTTGCTACCATGTAGACCACAACAACACCAAGGCCAGCAACTGCAACTGCAACTGCATTCCAGCTTCTCCCCATTCTGGTGCATAATGGAACCAGGTTGTTCTCAATAACAGTCGGCCTGCTCGTCAAAGTAGCATTCTGCATGCACAGGCCATTACCCATAAACCTGTCCAAGCGAAGTGTACTGTTGTCGATATTCACTGGTTCAAGCAGCTCAAACTTGCTTTGCAGCTCCTGCGTAAGGTTTGAGCCACTCTGGATGTTGTTCCTCGTGAATAACAACAGTTTGGCAATCGTCTCCAAGAGATCGCCACTGTACATCAGCAAAGCGTCCTTCACAACCAGGCGACAACCTGGCTCCACCGTGCTGAAATTCATGAGGCCTTGCTGCTGAAAGACTCTGGCCATCAATTCTTCGGGATGTTCGAGGCAATCGTCATCTGTGCACAGTGGCCCACTGGAAGAATCGTTGTGCTGAAAATTCAAGCCAACCAACCTCAGAGGGTCCTGAAGTTGGAGGATCGGGCTCGATGCGTTTCCCGTCGGCGGCCGCGGCGGTCTGGTCATCCACAGTTCCCCGGACATAGCGCTGGCTCCACGCATTGTGAGGGGTCGTCGCACGTCGAACGACTCACCGCTGTTGTACTTATCCAGAATGCACGCCGAAAAAGTAAAGTTAGCCTCAAAGACAAGGTCAACTGGTGTGTTCCCCTCCGATTCAGCCTTGTCGAAGTTCATCAGATCCGCCAGCTCAGCCATTCTGTGCGCCACAGTGGGCTCTCTGGTAGTCGCTGTCCACGACAAGATCGTGACGTTCCTAAATTCTTCCCTTCCCGTTGACAGGAACTCTATCCACGCAGCACCACCCCTGGCGAGCTTCCTACCTCCCTGCCGCTCAAGCTCCGACAGTACTTCCTTGAAGGTCCGAGGTTCCAGGCGGAAGGTGGTGTTCGTGTACTGCAGCCTTCCGCCCGCTTCAACATCCAGGAACAGAGAATGCGTGTGGCGCACCTCGGCGGCTGGGCGAAACGACAAGTCCAGGGTCAGGTTGCACAGCGTCAGCGTGGCGTTCAGCCTCACCATCTCGAACTGCTCCGTGCCCTCCAGGACGACTCCGGCCGGGGACCCGCGAACAGTCAGGTTCCTCCCAAGAGAGAGGGGTGGCACGAAGGCCAGAGGATCCAGCACCATGTCATTGACAACGCTCACGGACCGCACGCCCGGCAGCACTCTGGGGGACAAGGCCGTCTGGAGCTCCTGAGGTCGGCCCACAGGAGCGGCGTCGGTCCCAGCTTCCTTTCCAACTGCCGCACCAGCCAAAGTAAGGAAGGCAGCGGCAACGAACAGAATGGCGGGGGTGCTGTGGATGAGGCTTGACTGGTGAACGGTGCACCGCGCCCTTGTGCCCGTGATCCCCTCCATGAGGAAGCACATTGCCGTCTCCTCTTGGGGACGGCTGTCCATGGGAATCCGTTCCCCAAAAAACGGTACGTAAGCACGGGTCACGTGGGCTGCTCCACTTTCACTGCGCCTTCTTGATGCTCCATCTGTTCGCTTGGCTCTGGGCGGGAAGCTCTCACCTTCTTGGCAGCCACACCCAGCCCATTGCTGTGAAGTGCCCAAGGTTTCGCCGTGGGCGCTGCAGCAGTGGGCCGTGGAGTCCATGCGCATGTGTGCCTCATTCCTTCTTCGACCTACATCGTTCGTTGAGGTTCGCTGACAGAACCCTGCTTGGCAATCGCCTTCTTTCTTCTCATACGCACGTGCGATTCGCGATATGTGTTTGTGCTTTGAATTTCATGCATTTGTTGGTGTTGTTTTGCGCCCATGTGGTTGCACATATGGGGTGACACAGGAAGGACAGCCATTGTATACTTTCCAACCACCGATGTGTACTTTACCAATCGGCATAGTGTGGCCTCGGTAGCTTTAGGAA